GCCAGGGTGTCCTGTCCCAGCTGGGCAGCCACTGCCGGGCTCACAGAAAGCCTGCCCTGTTCTCTCTGAGCCCCTCCCTCAAGGCTGTAGCCTTCAGACTCAGGCTGCCACCCAGAGACGGCCGCCAGGACCGCCCGGCCCTGCTCCGGGGTCCTCTGTCACTGCAAGGCCACATGCACGTCCACCACAGTGGCCACCACCAGGAGCCAAGCTGTACAGAAACACAGGAGTTCCCAGAGTCCTCTGCCTTATCCTTGAGGAAGCCACGCCGAAGCTGGGGGCAGTGGGGAGGGGAGCTGTTGGGAAGTCTGTTTTGCAAATCTAAACATGATAAAATAAACGGCAGACACACGCATGTGCATACCTATGTCAATTTTCTGCATGCACACGCGCGCGCACACACACACACACACACACACACACAGAGTACCTATGTCAATTTCCTCAGCGTACCTATATCAATTTCCTCTTTGGCTATTGACAGACACTTATAGGAATGAAACTTATATAAATATAAATGTTATATAAATGTAACTATTGGGGGAAGCTGACTGAAGAATACACTGGAACTCTCTGTCCTAAATTTGCATCAGGCCTGTGAATCTATAATTATTTTAAAACCAAAGGGTTTTTTTTTGTTTTTTTTTACAAAAGTATATTTTGGGGGCGCCTGGGTGGCTTAGTCGGTTAAGCGTCCGACTTTCGCTTAGGTCATGATCTATCGGTTTGTGGGTTCGGGCCCCGCATCGGGCTCTGTGCTGACTGCCAGCTCAGAGCCTGGAGCCTGTTTCAGTCTGTGACTCCCTCTCTCTCTGACCCTCCCCTGCTCACACTGTCTCTCTCTCTCTCCTAGAAATAAATAAAACATTTTTTTAAAAAAGTATATTTTGTACTACAGATCTGGTTTTGCATTCTAAATTTTTTTAAAAATTAAAACAGTCGGGCATACTCAGACTAACACCAGATAAAGGAAAGGTCAGAGAGCCGGGCCGGAAGATAATGGCCACACCACAGAACTTGAGAATATTCAAGAATCACGACCAGGCTGGGGCTTCTGAGCTCTGTTTCCACCACTACATATACTCAAAGGAACGGGACAGCATCCCCATGTGTGGCACCCCCTCCCCCGGGGCAGAGCCGGGTCCCCCTCCATGCTCTCCTTGGACCAGCTGTGACCCCGCCCCTGAAGAAGGAGGGTCTGAAGTTGAGACACACTAAAGAACTTAGTAACTGGGACAGCCTGTTCCCTTCCACTTGAGAAACATCTTGATTGTGTGTGACATACAGGGACGTCCCTAAGGCCTCTGATTTCAGGAGTTAATCCTTCCCAAGCGTCAGGATTTAAGCTAATGATGGCCCCGCCCATTCCACCTGTCCTTCCCTCCCCCCAGTCTGGTCCAGACTCGGACAGGGAAGAGCAGGGAAGCCCAGGGCCATGGCGCTCTGAGGAGCGGGTCAGAGGCTCACGAGCGGGAGGAATGGAACTTTCTCATGTAGATCAGCAGAGGGTCTTTCGAGGGAAGTCCACTCTAGTGGGGGATCCTTCAAAGACAGAACAACTGGAGTGTCACCGCCCCGTCCCTCCTGCCTACCACCCCCTGCTCCAGACCCAAGAGGCCAGAGAGGGCCAGGCCTTTGTCCCACCCCCGCTGTCCAGCCAGCAGAGCCTGAGACAAAGCTGGAGAAGGCCAGCTGCCCAGGGACACACCAAGGATACTCGCTGACGCCTAGGGCTACAGACTAGAGGACTGGATCATTCTATACTGACGGTGGCTCCTGAGGGTCAAGGTTTGGGCAGAGCACAGGCAGCCAACAAGAGAAGGATCAAAGAGAAGAGAAAACAGGACGTGGCAGAAGTGAGAGTCAAGGGTCCAGGAGGGCCCTGGGCAGCAAGGAGAACAGGCGGTGGGCCAGGGCCACAGTAAACAGCACCCTCGACACACACACACAGTCACACTCACACTCACACACTCAGGTCTGTCCAGCTTTGCACAATGCATCAACCCTTCTGTTAAAAACACACAGCACTAGGGGCGCCTGGGTGGCTCAGTCAGTTAAGCATCCAGCTTTGGCTCAGGTCATGATCTCGCGGTTCATGGGTTCGAGCCCCACATCGGGCTCTGTGCTGACAGCTCAGAGCCTGGAGCCTGTTTCGGATTCTGTGTCTCCCTCTCTCTCTCTGCCCCTCCCCTACTCGTGCTCTGTCTCTCTCTGTCTCAAAATTAAATAAAAAACCAAAAAAATTAAAAAAAAAAAAACAGCACTAAACAGACAACAACCAAAACTGCTAACCCTTTCCTTGTAGCTGACGGCACATTCCCTCCAGAGAGAAAGAGCCAAGCCAACGATGGGTGAGCATCCAAGAGCCAGGCCCAGGCCCTGAATCAAGATCTATGTGGTCTCAGTTAATCCTCAGCATGGCTTCGTCGGGCCAGTGATGCTGTTAGCCTGTGTAGTAGGGGAGGAAGCCAGCACTGAATTAAAGAACTTGCCCAAGGTCAGGCAGCCAGCCAGGCTGTACACGTGGTTTCAGAGGTTGTGCCCGGACACTGTCCCCTGCCTGGCTGCCAAGACCGGCACCCTCCCCAAGGACTGCACTTGCCCCACTAAAGCCAGAGTACGGGGAGACCGAGCCGCGCCCTGCCCCACACTGGAAACCGGATCCTCCCACAGAGAGCAGCCAGAACCACACAGTGTGGGGCAGGAAACAGGGCCACTCCCACACAGGTGAGCTAGGACCTGAGCACCGAGTTGACAGCCCCTGGAGGTGTCACAACGCAGACATGACAACCAGGCCTCCCCCCACCACACAGGGTTCATGGGCCTCTAGGCTGTGACCCTCCACTCGCTGGCTTTTCCCTGGACTCTGTGGCCACATCATCTACAGGGATCATCAACAAATATTAATGAATCACCAAGAACTCAGCTCTGTGCCAAGAGCCGAAAATACAAAGAGATAAAGATGATGCCACTGCCCTGGGGCTCAAGGGGACAAGACAGCGTGCAGCTGTAAAGCCACGTGGGTCCCCAGGGCAGGTCACGTGGTGCGGTTCCGTGCACGCTCTTCAGCTGGGGAAACCTGGGAAGGCTTCTCAGTGGAGGTGTCCTCAGCTCCCTGCCTTTGCCTGGCACCCGCGATGGCTACCGTGCTCCCCAGAGTCTAAGCCAGGGAGTTCTCAAACTTGGGTGGGTCTCAGACTCACCTGGGGACCTTGGTAAATAAAGTGGCCAGGCCTCTCTCCTCTGAGAAACCCGGGCTTCCGGGCCATTCAGCTGCACATTGAAGTTTGACAATCACAGGGTCACCTCTGTACAGCCAAATCCCCTGTCGTAACTCGTCCCAAATCCACGCTATCTCCTCATCCCCAGCTGCCCCAGGCTCCTAGCACTCAGGACAGCTTTGAAAAGTTCATACAGAACTAATTCTACCTGTCTTGTCACCAGTTTCTCCTCTGTTCGTGATTACAAACTGGGGGGGTGGGGGTGGGTGGAGGCACCTGACCCCAGCTCCAGGCCTCAGAGTCTGGCTAGCACCAGTGTCCAGGGATTTCTGGGAAGGGAAGTATCTTGAAATGGACCCTAACTGGGGCACCTTGGTGGCTCAGTCGGTTAAGGGTCTGACTCGAGATTTTGGCTCAGATCACGATCTCACGGTTCATGAGTTCAAGCCCCACATCAGCACGGAGCCTGCTTGAGATTCTCTGTCTCCCTCTCCCTCTTCCTTTCCCCCACTCATGTGTGCACTCTCACATGAGAGCGAGAGCAAGATCGAGAGAGAGAGAGAGACAGAGCACAATAAAAAAAAATTTAATGTTTATTTATTTTTGAGAGAGAGAGTGTGTGTGTGAATGGGGGAGGGGGAGAGAGAGAATGAGACATGGAGACACAGAATCCAAAGCAGGCTCCAGGCTCTGAGCTGTCAGCACAGAATTAGACGCGGGGCTCGAACTCACAAGCCGTGAGATCACGACCTGAGCCGAAGTCAGACACTTAACTGACTGAGCCACCTAGGCGCCCCAATAAACGTTTTTTAAAAAATAGACCCTGAGGATCAGGAATCTGTAGCTTCCTCTAGGTCTTAGCACTTTAGAAATGTGTGCAGGAGGGGAAGGGAAGAAAGGGAGAATGGAGAATGCTAGATAAGAAATGTATAACTTTATAAAATGTCATTTGTGTGTTTGTGGGTTGTAGAGTTCTATAAGCCTTTATAAAGTTACATAAAGTTAATAACTGAGTTCATTGGTCATGGTAACGAGTGGCAGTAAAGGACCGTTTCTAGTGTCAGCTTTCGTATTTGTTCCTAAGGGACCTGGGTGGCCAGGGGAGGGTCTACTTGGAAGAGAGGGAGCAAGTTCCTCAGAGGGACTGGAAAGGCCTGACCTGGCCAGAAAACTTCGGCCTTGCCGTGGGTGAGAAGGGCGAGGCAGAAGAGGGAATGGGGAGAAGTGGAGGCAAAGGTCAGGGGAGCGGGGGGCTCCTCGGGATGGCTTGGCCATCGCCAGTCATCAGAGGGGGAGCGTGCTCCAGAGTTCGGACTCGGTCAGCTCCCTGCTCTCCCTTCCCTTCTGTTCAGGGGTCACATTTGACCCCTGCCTGTGAAACCGGGATCCCCCAAAGGTTGTAGCCAGGACAGGTACCCTGGTAGGAGAAGGAAGTGCTATCACCACTTGGTCTTGTGCCACAGAGAGGCAAGCGGGTGCCCCCGGGAGAAACAGGGGTGCCCGGGACGGGTCCACGGCCACAGGTAGGCACGTGTGCATTCCTCGTGCGGCTCTCACAGGTGCGCGCTAGTGTAAACGGCCTCTCAGGGGCCTGGGGACGAGCACACACACAGGGACACGCATAACTGTAGTGCATGCTGCACGCTCGGACACACATGCTCGGAGGGTTGTAGTGGCCCAGTCACGTGGGCACACATGGCTGCACACACCCTCACGCCCCCCAGAACACGGAGGTTGCCCACAGGTACCAGCAGCCACGCCCGCCCCTCCCAGGCTCACCTCCACAAAGAAAAGCTCCCAGATCCTGCTCCAGCGTTTCGACTCGGTGAGGGCGCCGTGCGTGGCCAGGTGGCTGCCCTTGACAGTGAGCGTGTAGTGGCACACACCCAGGATAATGACGCCCAGTGCGAGGACCGGGACATTCTCAGAGCGCAGGCTTAAGAACCCTGGATAGAGGAAGGAGAGCGGAGACGGACAGGGTCTTCCTTCAGCTCTTGAAGATCTGGGCCCCCCCCCCCGCCCCGCCACTGGACACCAGGACAGGTGTGCCCAGGGCCAGGGGGCTGCCCCACGCAGCGGTGGGGCAGGTCCCCACTAGGAGAGGTCCCGGGGAAACCCCATCCCCGGTGTCCCCCCATGGAACACACTCCCCTCCCCCAGTCCCCCTCCTCCCTCTCAACTTTCCCCTCCACCGCCCTTGAGGCCATCAGGCCTTCTCCCTCCTGCAGTGCACCTTCTTCTGGGGGTGCAGGGCTGGACACCGCAATCAGACCTTCGGATCTGGGGTGTACCTCTCCTGCCGAGGTCCCGGCACGCGCCACGTCCCCCACTCCCCCGTCCCCAGCGTCTCCCCCACCCTGCGCCGCGCCCCTCCCCCCAGCCGCAGCGCCGCCCTCTGCCCCCCTGTCCCGCGCTCCTCACCCGCCGGCACCGCGAGGAGGCTGAGCGCGAGGATGGCGCAGTCCACGCCGTGGCGCTCCCACCAAGAGCTCGTCCTCACCACGTCCCGCACCAGCGCCTCCAGCTCGCCCAGCAGCGCCTCTCCCCCGCCGTTGCCCCGGGGACCCCCCGGTGCCGGCTCCATGGGAGGCCGCCGGGGCACCCCAGGAGGACTCGCGGACGGTCTGCGGCGCCCGGCGAGGCGCTCGAGCGCGGGCGGGGGCGGACAGGGGCGGAGTCACGCGCCGGCTGGGGACACCCGCCCTCGGAGGCACGGTGCGTGCCAGGCACCCGAGCGCCTCCTGCCGCTCGCGGGGGCGACCAGGCGGGGCCCCGGGGGCGCCCTCCGGGCGGGAGGAGCGGGCAGATGGGCGCAGCCGGGGGTAGGACACCCTGGATCGAGACTCAGACCGGGCTAGAGGGAACTCGGGCGGAGAGTGACGCGGAGACCCCGATGGAGAGGCCCCCACCCCCACGCCTACCCCACCCTTCCGGGCCTTCTCTGACCGCCTGACCTCAGATACCTCCCTCGCGTTCTCCCGGGGCCCGCAGCCTCTGGAGTCGGCTGCAGCATTTTTTATCTCATAGCCTGTGTATTCTTCTCAGTAGCGCTCCGCAGATGTGACCCGGGCACGGCTGTCTCCACCCACAGACTGGACGATGGGTGCTGCCAGGGCCCTATCTTGCAGCTTTTGCTCAGACCGTATCTTTAGTAACTAGAACAGTGCTTGGCACGCGAACATTTTTGAATTCACGGGGCAGAAGGTTCAGGGACTCGCTCGATCCAGACACGTGGGGCGCGCGCGTCCTCTGGTCCTAGTCTTCAGCAGTGACTCATGGAGAATTGGCTCTCCAGCCCAGTGATTTTTGGAATGAGAAACGCCAAAAGGGATCGCCATAGAGAAGGGGGAAACTATAGAGAAAACACACCCAGAGGTCACCACTCCCGGGGGGTCCCTCTGCAGTTCCACTTGCTCAAGGGGTGCCCAGGGTCATGGCAAACAGCACCCATCCCCCTGCCTGGGGAGCAACACCTGTCCCGCCCCCTTTCCACCAGTGTGGCCCCAGCCAGAGCTGGGGAAGGTCGCCACTGTGCTGGGCAGACTCCCTTCTCTGCGTCTGAGAACCTAGTCTTCTTTTTCTTTGGTTTTACATCCCCCTGGTTTCATATTGAAGTCTCTTCCTCCCTCCCTCCCTTCCTTCCTCCCTTCCTTCCTTTCTTTTAATGTTTATCTATTTTTGAGAGAGAGAGACACACACAGAACAGGGGAGGGGCAGAGAGAAAGACACACATAATCAGAAGCAGGCTCCAGGCTCTCAGCTGTCAGCACAGACCCCGACGCCGGGCTCGAACCCACAAACCACGAGATCATGACCTGAGCGGAGGTTGGACTTAACCGACTGAGCCACCCAGGCACCCCTATCAGGTCAGTATTCTAAGGGGCTTACAATCTAATAGACCAATTCTCGCCTCACACATGTGCACGTGCACACACACGTCCGGCTCCTTATAGTTTCACCACTGGCTTCCATATCCTTACTAGGTTCTGTGTGTTTCCCACACTCCACAGGATGGCATCACCCCATCTAATCCGTAAGAGGCACAGAGAGATGAAGGGGTCTGCCCAACACACGCCCCAAAGTTACTAAATCACAGAACGAGAACTCAAATCCAAATCTGTCTACTCCAAATTCAATTATCTTTTGTTTATACCAGATCCTTTTTCTTTTGATTTTTTAAAAGTTTATTGACTGTGGGGACGCCTGGGTGGCTGAGTCGGTTAAGCGTCCGACTTCGGCCTGGGTCATGATCTCGCCGTTTCCTAGTTCAAGCCCCACATGGGGGTCTGTGCTGACAGCTTGGAGCCTAGAGCCTGTTTTGGATTCTGTGTCCCCCTCGCTCTCTCTCTATGCCCCTCCCCGATTCACACTCTTTCTCTCTCTCTCAAAAATAAATAAACATTAAAAAAAATTTTTTTTAAGTTTACTTACTTTTGAGAGAGAGAGTGTGTGAGCACATGCGCATGCACACAGGCATACACATGAGTGGAGGAGGGGCAGAGAGAGAGAGAGAGAGAAACAGAGAATCCCAAGCAGGCTCCACACTGACATGGGGCTCAAACCCACCAACTATGATATCATGACCTGAACCCAAATCAAGAGTCAGACGCTTAACCAACTGAGCCACCCAGGCGCCCCATTTATATCAGGTTCTTAGGACAGAGAAGGGGGAGGTGCCTTCCCCTCACCCTACCCTACGTCCAAGTGCCCCCTTTCAGATATTTCAGAATTTTCAGGGAGGGATACGTATATTTTTATAAGTATATTTGATATTCATATAAAATACGATAATACAATTTTATAAAAGTGGAATTCCATGGCTTTTATCATATAAACTAGAAAACTTCCTCCCAAGGTAGGAAGAAGGTGGCAAGAAGCCCCTGGCTTACCCCTGGACATCCTGGACATCTAAGTGGCGCTGTTAGGAAGCAAATGCTGAGTGACAAACAGGAACAGAGGCAAAATGTGCATTAGAGGAGCCCTGGGAGCCCGGAATCCCCGTGGGTGGGGTGAGCTGGCAGCCTCGCTGGAGAGAGACAGACTTCATTCAGAACAGACTTCAACCTGCGTGCGAAGGAAGAGAACAAGATATTCTGGATCTTCAAGACATGGAGCAGGAGGGGGGCTTGGGAGACGGTGAGGGGAGGAGGGCTGGGACCAGGTGCTGGAAGAACAGAGAAGGGCAGGCTGAGAAGCTGGGGTTCGCTCCTGCAGACTTGGGGAGCCCCGGCAGCCTTTATAGCAGGGAAGCGCCTTGCGTCGTGTGTTTGGGAAGGGTCGTCCGGCATAACGGAGTAGCCGCTGGAGTGCAAGAGACTAGTGGGGGACTGCTTCAGTACCCTAAAACAAGAGGGTACTGAGGATGTAGGAGGCAGCGGAGGGACGCTCTAGGACCGGAGAGGGGGCAATCAAAACCAGGAGGACTTTGAGGCCCCCCGGGTGGCTTAGTCGGTTAAGCGTCCGACTTTCGCTTAGGTCATGATCTCGCGGTTCGCGGGTTCGAGCCCCCCGTCGGGCTCTGTGCTGACTGCCAGCTCAGAGCCTGGAGCCTGTTTCAGAGTCTGTGATTCCCTCTCTCTCTGACCCTCCCCTGCTCACGCTGTCTCTCTCTCTCTCTCCTAGAAATAAATAAAAACATTAAAAAAAAAAATCCAGGAGGACTTACATAGACGGTTCGCCAGAGGAAACGTACATACACATGGCCAGTGAGCATGTGAAAAGATGCTCCACGTAATTAGTCTTTAGAGAAATACAGGTTTAACCCCCCAATGAGGTAGCCCTTCCGACCTGTCGTGATGGCTAAAATTAAACAGCCAGGCAACACTACATGTTGGCAAGGCGGTGTGGAGCAACTGACCTCTCATTCACAGCTGATGAGAGAGAGGACGAGGTGGCACAACCCCTTCGGAAAACAGACTGGCAGTTTCGTGTGAGGTTAACTATATGCTTACCCTGTGACGCAGCCATTCAACTCCGAGGTATTCAACCAACAGAAATAAACACATGTGTCCACATAAAAACGTTGTATCTCGATAGTCATCGCCGCATTATTCATTATAGTCAAACTGGAAACAGCCTAAATGTCCGTCAGCAGAATGGATGAGCAAACTGTTACATTCATGCAGCAGGTATAAAGGAGCAGCCGGACAGTGCAGATGAGCTGATGCGACCCCACGGAAGAAACCAGACACAAGCAAGGAGTTACTCTCTGATTCCATTTATAGGAAGTTCAAGAACAGCCGAACAAATATATGGTGATAGAAATCAAATCAGTAGTTGCCCAGGGAGGGGTGGGTGGGGAACAGTAATTGCCAAAGGGACACTATGAAGCTTTCTGGGAGGATGGGAGTGAGTCCTGTATCTTGATTGCACATTTGTTTGTCTAAAGTCATTGACCTACACACTTCAAATGGGTGCCTTTGAGTATAGTTAATTATACTTCAATAAAGTTGATTAAAGCAAAAACAAAACAGGAAGGCAGATTCTCTCTTTAAATGGAAAGAGCTTTATTAGAGCTGAACACAGGCATGCCTGGGTATATACTCAACAGAAATGCAAAGAAATATACAAAAACATTCATAGCCATAATACTCAAAATAGACAAAAAAAAAAAAAAGAAAGAAAAAAAGGTGAGGGACAATTCAAGTATCCCCCAATAGTAGAATGATAAATAAAATGTGGACTATGGATGCTAAGGTGTATTATACAACCCAAACCTAATGTTGAACAAACTAAGCCAGACACTACAGAGCACAGACTCCATTTGACTCTGTTCCTATAAAATTCAAAAAAAGGCTTAGGATGGCCATTACTGATAGGAGGTAGTGACCAGAAGGGGGCACATAGGGGTTTCTGGCAGCTGCTAAAGTGTTTTGTTTCTTGATCAGGGTGTTAGTTACCATTCGTAAAAACTAATCATGCCACCGCAAGTAGGTGTGCATATTTCTGTAAGTATGTTCTGCTTTACAACTTTTTAATGTTTATTTTTAGGGAAGAGAGATCGCACAAACAGGGGAGGGGCAGAGAGAGAGGGAGACACAGAATCTGAAGCAGGCTCCAGGCTCTGAGCCGTCAGCACAGAGGCCGACGCGGGGCTCAAACCCACAAACTGTGAGATCACGACCTGAGCTGAAGTCGGACGCTTAACCTATTGAGCCACCCAGGTGCCTCTGTGTGTTCTATTTTAATTAAAACATTTGCTTTATGTTTCTAACTGATAAGAGGGTTGTTGTTTTTTTAAGAGATAAAACTCAGGGGCACCTGAGTGATTCAGACGGTTGAGCATCTGACTTCGGCTCAGGTCATGATCTCGAGGTTCGTGGGTTCGAGCCCCGCGTCGGGCTCTGTGCTGACAGCTTGCTCAAAGCCAGCCTGGAGCCTGCTTCGGATTCTGTCTCCCTCTCTCTCTGCCCCTCCTCCGCTTGCTCTCTGTCTCTGTCTCTCTCTCTCTCTCTCTCTCTCTCTCTGTCTCTTGAAAATAAATAAGTATTTAAAAAAAGAGAGAGGGGCGCCTGGGTGGCTTAGTCGGTTAAGCGTCCGACTTTCGCTTAGGTCATGATCTCGCAGTTCGTGGGTTCGAGCCCCGTGTCGGGC